TATGGGCCCACAGTCAATGGAAGGAGACCTCCCTTTTAGCCATCTCCTCACCACACTCAGAGCTGTGCTAGGTACCACTTCCCCCAGGTACCCCCCTAGGTACCACTCCTCCCAAGCTGGAGGTACCTGAGTTCCTGCCGAATGTCCCAGCCTCTGTTTATAGCTTAGTGGGGCTACAGCACCATCCTGCACACTAGTCACGGAGCAAAGAAGGGCTCTGAAAAGGAACACCTGCCTCATGGGATGTGGGTGACAGCGAAGTCCTCATAAGCTGTACCTCCTTGTCAGCACCCTGACAATCCCACCGGGCTGTATCCTCCTGCCAGTCAGCTGAACCTTGCCTCTCCTTGTTCAGTCCCCAGAGCAACCCTTTGAGCCAGACTGGGACAGCAGTATGAAGAGACCTGGTGCTGGCAGGTGGCCAGCAGGTCAGAGGGTGCATGGCAGTTGGCGTTAGCAGGTCAGCACCACATCCCTTAGGACTTAAGATCCAGAATTGAGTCCTACATTTAATCACTCCTGAGCATTGGCCTCCTTGTCTGTAAAAGTTACTGTTGTCCATACCTTGACCCCTGCCCCTCAGTGTAGGGAGGGCTCCAGCACCTAGAAGTGTGCCCTGTACTGAATAGGCCTCTGTATGTGGATAAGTCCACAAGGAGTACTAAAGGGACAAAGAGGAAAAAGCACAAGAAACAGTTGCACAGGCGGGGAGGAAGGAGAGCCTCTTGGAGCTTTGGAGCTAGAGAGCTGGGGACGGGACAGTCACACCCTCCGCACTGTGGGGAAGGGAGGAACCTGGCTTGAGGGATCTGGAAGTCTCAAAGTGGCCCCTAGATGAGAAAACTAAGCCGCAGTCCAGAGAGAGGTGTTTGTGCAGTGAGGAAAATGCCCTGGCTCCTTCATGTGTCCAGTAAGCATTTACTGCGCACCTGCTTTTTGCTGGTGCCACCTCAGTAATGTGGAAGCCCCCACAACTGCTCCTGTGCCGGTAGGGGGCAGCCAGGGAACTCTGGGAGGCCCAGCAGGCAATGTGGAGCTGCGTGCCTGCCGGGCAAGAGGGCAGTAGGAACCAGACCGTGAAAGTGGGTGATATAAGGCTAGGTACCGCCACTGGCCTGCACCAGGGAAGGTGGCATTGGAAGCTGACTCTGAGGGCCACAGCATGAGCCTCCCCGTGCTCCACTACTTCCCCACTGAACGCGCGAGCCCCGGCCTCCCGCTAGGCTGCGAGGTGCGCGCCACTCGCGGCTCTAGACTCCGCCCACGCGCCTACCCCGCCCATCTCAGAGGATGAGGGTTGCAGGCGCGCTTGCGTCACTGCCCAGCCAGCTGGATCTGGTTCCAGCCGAGAAGTCCGTCTGACCTGCGCAATGCTTGTGCGCTGCGGCGGGCTGTGGGCCGGGCGAGAGGGTGCCGGGTTCGTATGAGGGTCCCGGCTGGCCTTCCCAGACGACGCCCGCTAGCCGGGACGCGGAGGTCAGTGTACGGGCAAAAGGGAGAGAGGGAGGAGGCGGGGGCCTTGCCCTTCCTGTCCAGACCCGCCCTGCTGCGCGCCGACAGGTGGCCCTGCGACCCCGAGTGGTGGTTGAGGCGCCGGCGCCCTGCAACCCTGGATCCCCGCCCTCCCACAGGTCCCTTGGGTCGCCAGGTCTTGTTCCGCGAAGCCGTATCCTCCCATCTCCGGCCTTCCTGCCAGGCCTTCCTCCCTCTGGCAGGCTCTCCCCAAAACTACAGGTCTTTAACTGGATTGCTTTTGAAATTATTTGGCCATGAGTAACTCACATAATTGTAGTATGACTTTTCTCATTCACCACATACACCCAAAGTTCTTGCAGACTGAGAAAAACACTAACCCACGAATACCTTTTTAAATGAAAACTGCATTTTACAATGGAATTGACAATGGTGAACGATATAGACGTTTAAAGAAAAAACTTACTTGTATTGTGCTGTTTTCTTACTTCAGTGCCATATTTTGTTTTCCCATAGCTCAAACTTTTTGCAGATCATTGAAAAGTTTGTGGCCCTGGTATGGTGCCTGCAGGGTTCAAAGGCCAAGAGGACCCCTCTCCAGGTGCTCACTTTAAAGTCTGGGGTGAAGGTAGAGAAAGGGCCCAGAGATGAGAACCAAGTCTAAGTGTTTTTGGTGTGTGTCATAGTACTTCTAACACCAGGGCACGAAGCTGGGTGGGAGAGGCAGAGCCAGGAGCTGCAAGGTTGAAGCAGGACAGTACATTTGAAAGTCTTATCATGCAGAGTTGCTTTTTTTCCACTTCTCTCCAGGGGATACTGTGAACCTTGTGTTCTGTGCAAGCTGACCCTGGAGCTGATCCATGACTTGGGTGACTCTGCACTTTTGTAATAGGTTTTTCAAATGTTAAGAATCTGGTTTGCATTTAAATGGCAAAATCACCATGGACAAATTAGGAACAACTGTCTACTAATTTCTTGCAAGTTGTTGAGAAATATGTTTTCTATGGGGTAAATGTTATTTATAATCCATGCACTGCCTGTACTGGCCATGCAGCTAGAACTGTGTTTGCATTTTAAAACCAAATACAGCCTTGGAGTCCTGGTTACTCATCTGTTTCCACAGATGAAGGCAGATTCAAATCTTAATAGCTATGAAGGAAATGGCCTTGGTCAGGGAGTTGCAGAGCAAAGAGACCTTCTATTAACATACAGAGGCCTATCTCTATGTATGACCTTTGCCTTTCAACCCAGTTATCTCTTATGTCTAAAAGCCGTGACATTCCATGCTGATCAGCCATGACTGATCATGTAGAATCCAGCAGGGCTCCTAGCCTGTGTCAGCCCCATGGTAACCAAGAGCAGGGAGAGGCTTGTGCTCCATTAGGCTGCATCCGTATGTCTAGAATCAAATCAGCCTGTCAGTGTCCAACACAAGTAAAGCTGCAGTACCAAAGGAGAGCCAAAACCAAAGGATGTATTTATCTTCCAGATAACTGCACCAGAATTCTGGGAGGCTTTAGGGTAGGGGTAGGTGGACCAACATAGATAACAGGCCAAGCAGGTAGATGCCTGTGGCCTAAGAAGATAAAAGTTCACATTTCTGCTTCAAAGCCATCTCCCTGGGAGGTGGCCCTTTGGCTTCTCTGCAAGAGTTTGAAATGCCATAGAGAAGGGGCTGTGGGTTCACTTGATCAGAGCCAGAAAGAAACCCTCTGGCCAAGGCAGTGACCTGCACCAGACACTGGCTGGTGGAAGCTACAAGAGAGCCCCATGCAGCTTTTGCAGTTTCCAGCTGAAGTCCAGCAAACGACTGAACCCTCAGCTCCACCCCAGGGATGTCATCTCTACAGGTAGAAGTGCTACCAGAGACAGAGGTCACATGGGCCTGTCATCAGTGTGCTTCTTCTGGGCTGAGAAATGGGCCTGTGAAACACATACTGACAAGAGTCGGGCCATGCCATCCTCACTTCTCCTCTCCTTTGCAGTGTGTTCTATGGACTCAGCATAGCAGAAAGCTTTAAGCCAGGCCTCTTCCTGCAACAGACTACTGTAGTGCTATGAGTCAGAGCCAAAGCAGAGTTCTCCCTGTCACTTACCCTCACCTGTCTCCTTCACCAGGCCTATATCAACTCCCCATGCCTACCCGATCCTCTTGCTGTCTCAGAAGTTGGCCTCCCTGGCAGTTCAGCCCTCCTAGTGCTTGCTTGTCCCTGGAAATCTGTGCAGCAGAGATTGTGGTTCTTTGTAATCTAAAGTACCACACACAGGCTTTGTACCTAGTGGGCCCACCCTGGTTGCTGCACCCAAGGGGCTGCCGCAGGAGGGGTACCCAGCTTCACCAGCCAGGCCAGAGCTGAGCCATAGCATAGGGGTGCCTGCTGGAGCTGTAAGCCCCTGGCTTCTGAAGCAGAGGGCCACAAGCTGCATATTTTGCCTCCTGGGGTGTGACCTCATGTTCTTGTCCCTCTACACACACACACACACCAGAGTTTTTGTTCCTTATGTCTATCTGCCTTCCCTGAGGCATGAGTTCCCAGGGATGGGGCTTGATGTGCAGTGATGTTGGAAAATTGGATGGGCAGTCTGTTGAGATGGAAAAGTATGCGCTCAAAATTTGGAGAATCTCAGACTTTGTTTCTTGAATCCCAGTGTGATCTTTGTAAAGCATGTCCATCTCTCAGACCCATCTCCTTCCTATGCAGGATCACTTATGGCTGGAGCCTCTGCTGCCTGTGAACCAGAGAGTAGATACCAGAGACCTTGGTGCAGATGCCTGTGGAGGTCCACACCTGATGCCCTTTGCTCCTTAACATGCCATTTAGCAAACTGCCTCACACCACAGATTTTCATTTTTATTCGTAGGTTAATGAACAAGAGTAAAACATTTCCTATTGTCCTGGTGGAATTTGGTACCAACTACCAGAGGCGCTTGTAGCTGCCGCATCTTGTACCCACAGTGGTTTTTTAGTGTTTTGTGACAGATGTGGGTTGCTGGCAAATGCAGCTGAGCACAGGCAGTATTCAGATGCTGTGGGAGGTTCTGTGCTGCTTGGCCCTTTCACTCATGTTGAGCCTCTGTTCCAGAGGTGGAACTGTGCAGTCAGTTCTCAGCTCTGGCCTGGGAGGCAGGTACCACCAGCAGCTGAGGTAGTCAGCTTTTAAGTAGAAAAAGTGAAAAAGAAGAAGAAAGAGTGAGAGACTGAGCGTGGTGTCACACACCTGTAATCCCAGCACTTGAGAGGCTGAAAACAGGAGGATCTGTGAGTCTAATCTGCATAGTGAGACCCTGTAGACCCTGTATTAAATACATAAAATAATTTTTTTTAAAAAATTATAAGGACCTGTCCTGGCCTTATCCCCTTGAAATCTTTATTTCCTTCTCTGTAGAACAAGGAACAGGGCTCTAGGGTCTTAATCTGATGCTTTCTGAGAAGATGGTCCAGCAGCTCTCACCATGTTCTGCAAGGCCCAAGTGGGATGAGGCTAAATGAAGACCACAAAATTGGGATGCATATGAAGACTCCACATAGAGGGTCCTGGCTTCCCAAGGATGTTCTCTGTGCTGTTGGGCTGTAACTGTGGACCTTCACCCTGAGTCAAGAAGTTTTAGCTTGGATGAAGTAAACACATCTGTTCTCACCTCCAGGGACAAGTGGCATTTCTTTCTGCTATGACCCATTTTGGGACAGCAGTGGCCTGAACAGGACCTAGGCTAAGTGGTAGAAACACAGAGGCTTCCTGTCTGTTGCAGCTGGAGACATTTCATTATCCTCAGTTCCATTTCCCAGGTATGGAGCCTGAGCCCTGCTTCTTGGTTTTGTTATTTGATGTGTTGACAAAGTATGGATATCACTGGGACTCTGATGCTTCTTGTGGGCTAACACTAAGTTTAATTTGTATCCAAGTATATATGCATATTCTGCTTTATGTAGTTATTTTGGTATTTTTGGCAGTACTGGAGGTTGAACTAAGGGCCTCACATATGCTATGCAAGTATGCTTCTGCTAAGCTGCATCCCTGGCCCTTGCTTTGTGCAATTAGTATTGTCATTCCAAGATAGGATCCCTGGGCAGTGTCACCCTATTGGTCACAGTTAGGCTCTGGTAAGAGCTGGCCCTGAGTCCCCTTGCTGACCTGAACGGGTGGCCGCCCTCCCTGTCCTCCAGGAGCTCACGTATGCCTGCTTGTGAGCGCCTCGATGACAGAGCCGGCGTCTACTTCTGTATCTGCAGCCCCTGTATGCAACCTATCATGGCAGCATCCTTGAGTGGCCATACAGGTGCTCTAAAGTTGCTCCATTTGTGATCAGGATATCTTAGAATGGGAGAGAAGGCAATGAGGAAGGAGCCAGAGAGCACTCGCGTCTTAGTCCAGTCAGATATTGTGTCAGAAGACTGGTAGTGTGCAGGGTTTGAAGAATTTAGGAATGTTTGTATTTAATAATAATTCTGATCAAGTTTACTGTTTATATCCTGTCATTAAGAAACCCAACGACCCTCTCAGTCATGGCCTTGGTCTCAGGCAGCAACCTTGGACAAGGTCTTGCTGTTATATCTTCAGATGTTACTGTGGGAAGAACCTGGCATAGGTTGTCCTTGGATTGCCTTGCACACCCACCTGTGATTCTATAATTGTCTCAATAAAGGCTTAATTTTTTAAACTCCTTTTTGTTCTTTTGTTTCAGGAAAAGAATGTGTGAGTTAACCTTCTTAAAGTGAATAATTGGGATAATAAGACTGATTCAGGTCTAGAAGAGCTGATCAAAAATATCGTGAATATTTTTTAAATGTATTACAACGAACAACACATTGCCATTAATGCCCCCCCCCCCAAATACTCCCTCTTGCTTCAAACACTTATCCTATACTTATTGCTACTTTCCAAAGCATTCTGGAAATCCTTGTTCATAAGTGTCTTGATGAGATGTGATCAAAAATATAGTAAATGCTGTTGCCAGTGCCATCCAGTGAAAAGGCAGGCTCATGAAAAGCATGATGGTGTGCCCTTACCCATTTTATTGATCAGATATGGCCCCATGCAACTTCTGTCTGATGACCATACAAACTCAAAATGACGTAGAAGGTAAACATTTTCAATCAGGACATCGAGGCAGCTATAACAGTGCAACTAAAGTCACTCGTGAAAGGAGACTTCCAGAACTACTTTAAAAAGTGGCAAGAATGATGGGACAAGTATGTTCAAAGATGGGAGGGTGGAGAGGGAATAATGGTAGTATGTCTTTAATAAGGATTTTTGATTTTTTTTTTTTTTTTTTGCTCTGAATGCCTTCAGGGCAGGTTTGGCTGGCTGGAGTTGTGGGGATCGAACCACAGCAACCTGAGCCTGACTGCTTTGTCGAAGCAACCTCTTAAAGAACTGAGCTAGGGCCAGGCCCCCAGTATGTCTTTAATATAATTTTTTTAAAACTAAGAATTTGCCAGAAGTTTCAGTCACCCCTTAAACTGGGATGGAATCTGAACATGCCACCTGTTTAAGGGACAGATGCTTAGCCTGCCACTTCCAACCTGTGCATGGATTATGTGGGAGGTGGAAGAGAAAGAGCATCATAGTGTGGGGAGTGATGTAGGTGGATGGGGACAAGCTCCTCAAGACCTGAGTTGGCAGCACTGCTGTAGTTGCCAGCACCTGTTCACAGAGGGACCTAAGCTGCCTTCGTTCTGGGCAAGGCTCCTGTTTGCCCCTCTTAAGAGTGACTGTCACCTGTCCATGATGACCATACTGGCCTTGGTGTTGATGCATAGGTCCCAGTGGGTTAGGGACTGGTAACTCTCCAGGGCAAGACTCAGGTTGAATGACAAGGTCAAGGTCTAGGTACTGTACCTGGGCTTTGTGTGTTGTGCCATTGATGAGACACAGCTCTTAATTGCATGTGTGACCCAACCTCCCCTTAGGCACCCTGTCCTTCCAGATGGAGGGGAAGATGACGGTCCTGGGAAGGCTGTCACAGCAGTCATTAATGCACTACTTTCAACCCTCTGGTTCTATGGAGTTGACTGACTATAAGGCAGGTCGTGACCTGAGGAGCTCCTGAGTACTCGTGATAACTAGGAATTGTGTGCTTCAGGACCCCCACTATCTCTCCTCTGCTGCCACAGCTCAGCTCTGACCCTAGGGATAGGGTGGTTACCAGCTCTAGCTGGGCTGCTGACTACACTCCAGGCCCTTTGTCAAAACAGCATTCAAGTGCCTGCTGCCAAGGGTTGGACTTCATAGATGGAGGTGGGGCATGTCAGACTCCTAATTGAATTGTCTTGAAACTCATTGCTGCTGAAGTTCAGTCCCCTCGTCATGGTGAACATAAGAGAACAGGAAAGACTGTCCTGAGTCCCATAAGGGTGGAACTGTGCTGTCCCCTCACCCGCTGCCTCCCTTTTCCCACTCCTTGGGTGAGGCTCTGGCACATGACCCTCGCCTGAAAGCTTCTGGGATTCCTATTTTTCTCCTGTCCTCACAGCAGCACACCAAGGCCCATGCGTGCCTCCATATCCATCCCTATCCAGCATTCCTGAGCTTGGGTATGGCCAGGGAGGAGGACAACCTTGGTTTCTTACACATTCCCCTGCTCAAGGCATGGGGCTTTACAGAAGAGGTTGAAGTAAAAGTTGGTTAATTGTATTCTCTGTGTGCTTATTCTTGCCATGTGAGGCCAGTCATCCCTGTCAACAAGCCCAGGGCAAGAAGAAGGCCTCCAGAAGGAAAGAGATGATGTGTTCCTGCCCCATTGCAGCTTCTGGTTGGGGAATGAATCCTTGGCCCAGGTCAAGTGCTCCAGATGGAGGCAGGAGGGCCCCCCAGAAGTGCTGAGAGAGAAGGCCCTGTGATCACCAGGTGGGCTTGGTGTCTGCTGGTTGTAAGTGAGGAGGAGAAGCCCCTACCACTTTGCCCAGCATTACCAACAGCAGCTGAACCCACAGAAGTCTCCCTGCTGTGGAGACACTTGAAGCACTGCCTCTAGGGCTTCTGTTTGAGCAGAAACTAGAGACAACTAAGGGACCCATCCCAGGCAACTGCTGTAGCCTGGTGTCTGGTTGGAGCATTCTCCACCACCTTCCATAATTCTAAGGATGCTCAAGGCAGCTGATGAGTGGGCACTCAAAACCCCATACAGGAGCTGTGCGCTGGTTCAGGCCTTCATGTCTCCCCACCCACATGGTCCTTCACACATCTGCACAGTGGAGGCCAGTCCAGCAGCTTCTTCACTTGGCCAGAACATCACAGCCTGGGCCTGGCTTCTTTCCTTCCACTGTGCTCAGAAGAGGGCCCTGGGAAGGACAATGGGCCCTTTCTCTGCCTGCTCAGTGGCTCTGCTTCCACACACAGCTTCTCTTGACAGCCCTGGAACCTAAACTCTGGCAGGAGGCCTGGGCATACTACCATCCCAAGGCCTGGACCTGGTGTACCCCAGCCCCGTGTGCTGCCCTGCCGACCTCGAGGCTTCATGGCAATCAAAAGGCTTCACCCAGGGCACCTGATATTCTCCAGAAAACATGCAAAGAAATGGCCAAGAACTAGAGGGGATGGGGCCCACACCATGACCTGTACTGTCATGCACGATGCCATGACTTGAAAGAACAAAAAGCCCAGATACCAGGATGTCCAGCTTGCAAACACACCCCCACAGAGATCATGTGGGAGTGCACTGGGGTGGATCTTGGTCTGGAGTTGTGGAGCTACTCAAGGTAAGCTTCCAAAGAAGAAAGCATGTGTAATGTCTTCTCTGCACATGCCCTCAGTGTGGACTTAGGTGTGGTACAGGCATGGAATACGGGTTTTGCAGACCGGCAATAGAGCTCTGTGTAGACACCGAAGAGTTGATCCTGTGGCAGCAGGTACAGAACTCAGGGTGCCAGGTACATGTGGAGAGACCAGGTCAGCTGGGGGCCATGGCCATTCTGCAGGACTCCCTGTTGAGACAAAGGTTATGGACCTTTGGGTGGACATGGCAGGAGATTGGCCTCACCACTGAGGTCATATGTCACATACGGGTCATGGCCCAGCACCAGGGTGCTCAGAAGGCTAGCTTTGGTCTCCAGCACTCCTTCCCCCTGACATACCTGTCCCTTTTCTGGGGATACCAACCGCCATATGCCCATTTGATTCTTGCCCACTCTGGAGCACACCTGGTACTTCCAAGAGCCCAAAAGATAGAGCCTGAGCTAGATGTCCTCCGTATGGAGTGGTTTTGTCTCTTCCGCTTATCCTTGGGTCAGGCTGCTGGGTGCTCATTACTGCCCTTGGCCATGGCATTATGGACACTGAGACACCAGCAGAGTAAGCTCAGGCCCCTGCTGGGATGTATCCCCCCACCCAGGTTCTTTCCTGAAAGAGTTCAGGAGGGGGTTGTCCGTGTAGCTCTGGCTTTGATCCAGCTAGTCTGCCATTCCTAGATAAAATATCCGCTTGTGGAACTGGAGAGGAAGAGGTTAAGTTCAACTAAAAAGATGAATGGGGGACAGGGGTTAAGACAAGATCACTCTTGAGTAGTTCAGGCTGACCTTGAACTTGCAGTGATTCCTTGTCTCAACATTCTTAGTCCTGGAACTACATGTGTATGCACTACACCCAACATGGAAAGATGACTTTCTAGAAGGCAGGATGGCACAGTGATGTTTTAGGATTGCAAGTTCAAGACCAGTCTGGGCAATTTACTAAGACCCTATCTCAAAATTAAAAATGCGAAGGGTGGAGCTGGGGAGATGGCTCAGTAGAATAAGTGCTTGCCTGGCAAGTATAAGGGCCTGAGTTCAATCCCAGGTTCCACCCTCCCCCCCCAAAAAAAAAATGCAAAGGGCTAAGAATGTACCTCAGTGTAAGCTCAACCTTGGGCTCAGTCCTTAGTACTAAAAAAAAAAAAAAAGCCACTTGGCCGAGGCCAGAGCATCCTTGACTTTAGCCTTAGCCATTGTTTCCTGATTGTGTAATATGGGCAAGATTAGGATCTCTCCAGTATCTTTCTCAGTCCCCCACAGGAGCCTGGCTATTCCTGCTCAGCAGCAATCCCACACCAAATCTGCCTGGGCCAAAACGACCAGATTCCCCAGCCCTGGGCTTGTGGGGATTCCTGTTGCATGGCCAAGCCCCTCCTACAGGGCAAAAGTAGGGAGGACAGGACTGTGGTGGGGCCCAGTGTTCTGCACACACTTAGGTTCACAGTTGTCCCTCAAGGAAAAGTCACAGGCTGATGCTTGGCAGTCCAGATGCAGCCCAGCCCCCATGTGAAGTTTGCCTATGGGATGGAATATTCATCAGAGGGAGGAAAATCCCAGAGGAGCCACCATGGTTCTCATCCCCTGCTGGTCTGGGTGGATGTGACTGGATGTACCTTATGCCCGCAGGAGTCCCACATCAGGGTGCAGCCATTGACAATCCAGGTGTCCTTGTCACACTGGGACAGACACAGATGGCATCTTCCAAATCCCCAAATGGGAACCTGCTCCTGTTCAGATGTGCTCTTTGGAGATTGTGCCTGAGTTTTTGTCTGAATTGCTTGCATGGGAACCTTTTCAAGTGAAATTAGGGCACTCTCTCTTGCCAGGAGCTGCATTACTGAGAGAGAGAGTGTTCACATGCTAGACAAGCGCATGCGGTGTGCTATTTTCTCGGCACTAACTTTTCTGGGAGATTGGTGACCACATTCCTCTCTGGTTCAGCAACTTTGGTCTTTCCAGGATGCAGCTTTGGTTTGCTGGTTCATTTTCAATCCACTTACTCTGTGTAGCCAGTATTTTTATTGCACTAACTGTTGATACAGGTTTCATTTTGAAATGCATTTTTAATTACCTACATACTACATCACCCAACACAGCATCATCTGTCATGTAATTCAGACACCCAGTGTGGTTGCAGTCCCAACTGCCATCCCAGGTCCCCTGAACTTTATCAGCTAGGGTAGGTGTCTGGCCTGAGGTTCCCTGTGCATGGCAAAGTGTTTTCTGCATTTGAAGTGTAATCCCAGGGACAGCTATCTGTGGAAGAGAAAATCCATTGCTGAAATTTTGGTTTTCATGTCTCTTCTCATCAAACCCAGAGTCCCTGAGACTAACAGCCCTGAGATCACTGAAGCCATAGAGCCCTGTGGCGCCTCACCTTGCTCATGTGGCTTCAGTTCGGAGCTGCCCACCCTGTGGGAAAGAGCCCTGGCTTGTGAGGTGGACACAGGTTCTAGCAGGGCTCTTTGGGCAGCCTGGGGTCCACAGCTGCAGCAGGAGGAGGCCTGGCCATAGCATGAGGTGTCAAATTCTTAAATCTTCCTTTCCTCAACAGGTCACCCCCAGAATGGGGGCAGACAGGCTTCACTGGAGACTTAGATGCTTTTTTTTTTTTTTTTTTTTACTTAGATCCTTTTTACAGTTTTTTTTTTTCATAATTTTATTGAGAA